TTTTCCTTTTCCAAAAATCAGGATTAGTTGGGGAGAGATTCTGAATTCTCCCAGCGAAGGCCATGTACGGACATAGGGAAAGAGATCAGTCGTTTTTCTCCCTCTTTTCTCGACGGGCCCTTCTCTTCAGCTGAAGTGTCTTGAGTTCAGTCATGGTAGAAAAGGTCCTGTAAACCCACACCATCTGTCAGCATGAAAAAAAAAGAAAAAACGGCAAGGCTTACACGTGGTCTGGTGTTTAATCCTTTCAAGAGAAATTCTGAGCTATTTATTGATGTGAAAAGTTGAAAAATAAAAACTTACCACAATTACGACTGCATTGAGCAGGAGAGGTATTGAGTAAACCAGTGATATGAACATACCCTTTGAATCAAAGTACTGGAAATCAGAAAAAGACCTAAAAAAAAAACATTACATAGTTTTATTTTTCAATGGAAAAACCTTTTTTTTTTTCAATCCATACATTCATTATCAGATACCAACATGCACAAAAAAAAAAAGAATAGGTCTCACCTCCAGTTCATCGCTGCCAGCTCATTTAGGTATTCAGCACTATATACCAGGGCAACTATGGAAAAAAAAACGTATATTAAGAAAAGATGACTTTAATCTAAAATTATGGCAAACGTGAAAAGATTGCATCGCTGGAATTTCCTGTAATTTATCTGCAAAATGTGTTCTAATTCAACAGCCCCAAATAAGACATTCATTTGACATACTGACACTCACAATTTCTTCTGCATGCAGTTTTGTCTACTTCTACTTCGTACAAAACTAAATCAAATTAAACTGTTAAAAAGGAAATACAGACCAAATAGTATACAGAACAAATATACTTGATACAGAAGATTAAAATGGGTTATGATAAATGTATTAAATATATACACTCACTACAGCAAGAAATACATAAGTAAATAGGTCTATAGCAATAAAATATACATAAAAATAAATTTAATACAATTTAAAAACAATAAATATTAAAAGCATTTTATTTGTTGATGTTTTCTCTGTCACATCTAATATATACATATGTTCTCCAATTATATCGCGATGAAGTTTGTGGTCTTTGCTGCCATCTAGTGGTCGGGGAACGAATTGTATCTTACCTCCAGATTGGAAATATATTTGAAATACTGCTGATGAACTAGAAAAAAAAGCTTGATCTCCAATCGCTGCTGCCATTTACTTTAACTGAGTGTTTCCATTTACATCTAACGCTGCCCCGAAGGAAGCATAATCTGTGCTGTTGCTGCCAATAACGTGCTTTTTCTCTTTCTCTCTCTAGATAATACTCTTAGCTCTCTAAGTTTTAGTTTTTCATTTTTAACAAGTCTTCTCAAACCCAATCTGTCAAGATAATTTAAATGAATCAAATGTAAGTTTCTGTTTTTATTTGAATCTATTTGTTTTCCAAGTGATTTGTTATCATGCTCCTGTGAAATAACATAAGTTAATTAAAGGCTCCCGAAATAAAAAGTATCTTGAATTATTCTTATGCCTAGTTATGTTTGGTGTTGCTGTTTTGCATCATACCAAACGTTTCATGTAATGGATTTATGTTTCTTATTTATAATCAATACACCGAGTACGGAAGCCGGAGCGGTCCTTTCCCTACTTTTCCACGTTGGTTCTCTTGAGAAAACAAGTTAATTTCTGATGTCTGGGGGACAGTCATTCACCTACATGTTATGAATGTTGGCGTACCATAAAGAATAAATTATGAACAATTTAGTTTGTGCCTTCCTACCAATAGGAAGACATTACCGAATATCTTCAAAACAGCTCCAAATGACACAAAACTCATATGGGTGAGTAGAACATGATGTAATAACGTAAAATCAAGGGCCCAATATAAAAAACACGGTGTTCCCCTTTAACTTTTTGGTAATGAGGTGACGTTGTTGGGTTGATGATTCGTTCCACTTCTGTTTCATAAGCAATTAGAGCTATGCCTGTTTTCTGAACAGTCCCGGTGTAACATATACATTGTGACATTGTAACATATATATATATATATATATATATATATATATATATATATATATATATAGTAGGGGTGGAACGGTTCACAAAATCCACGGTTCGGTTCGATTTACGGTTCCTGGTCACGGTTTTCGGTTCGGTATATGTTGATTGTTACACCGAAATCCCATAAAAATTTATGAAATTAATGAAAAAATCCCCGAACAAAATAATGAATTGTAATTATTTTAAATGATCCGCGGAAACCCTGGATCATTTCTGTATGTTTTGCTGCTTTGAATTTAATCATCTCGCGCATGCTCTCTACCATCTCCAAGGGACTCAGAGGGGAGCAGACGGGAGCCACAGTGGAGGCTGTAGGCTTTGCTTTGAGCAGCCAGTCTGGAGCGGAGCGGGGGTTGCTGACAGAGTATGAGGGATTTCGGGGTTAGCATGACATGTTGCTGTTAGCATAAACAAAACGTGTTGCACTTTTATCCACAACTTTCTTTCCGCCGTCATCGTAGGTCACTCTAAATGCAAAGCTGCTGGCGCGTCTTCCAACTCCTGCTCTTTCCCACTCGCCATACCCATACAATTCTCCACAACAACTGATTTTTTTCTGCTACACCCGGCTACGCTGCTTCGCTTCTTCTTCTTCTTGTTTACTACTGGTGGTTGGCTTTGGTCGCAGTACCGCCACCTTCTGCTCTGGAGTGTAAACGCTTCGCCTATATGAGAAAAAGGAGCAGCACATGAACCGAACGAAACACACGTGAATCGAACAGAGACAGTCGAACCGAAGGGTTCGGACGGTTTTCAAAAACTGTTCCATCCCTAATATATATATATATATATATATATATATATATATATATATATATATATATATATATATATATATATATATAAATATAGGATGCATTAACCACTAAAATGAGTCCAGATTAAAGATTTTCATTAAAAACAATCCGAATTGCTTCCACTGTATTCCATGTCATCCAATCAGACACCATGACCTGACAATGAGTGAAAAGACAAAGGAAACTAAAAAACTGATTTGCGCACACGCGGTACTGCGACTGCACAACTACGGGCACCGCAGGCAATGGATGGCAGTTGGCCAGCCTCAATCATTACTCAAACAGGTTAATCATCTCGTTATCGCAAGAAATCAATAACTAATTTCTCTTGATAACGAGATAATTATGTTTTTATCTCAAGAAAACAATTAGTGGTTTAACCGTGATAACGAGATAGTTTTATTGTTTAAAAAAAAAAAGTCAGGGACAAAAAAGTCGGGTACAATCGCTCTCGGCTTCTATACTGATGGTCAAAAGTAGTGCAAAAATAATTAAGAATATGTTTCAGCAATGAGAAAAGAAATCATATTTTTTTTTAGCATTTGACAATCTACTAATGTTGTATGTGGTTTTGCTCAATATTTTTATCAAACTAAGTTTTCTTCATTTATTTATTTTTTTTTTTTTTTGTGGCACTGTTTGCCCTCCGTAGAATGATGCGGATTACTAAAAAACATGTTAAAACTCAGTACTAAAATAATCCAATCAGATTTATATCTATAATTCTAGGGCAGCAGAAAGGATTAATTCATTGAAGTTGGAAAGTATGTCCTCTTTTGGAGCAAATACATAAACTAACCTCTACTAACGTTTCCAAACGGGTATTTGCATCCAATTACTTGCAGATTTCCTTTACTTTTCTTTTAAAACACGACATCTAAATAGCAGGAGCAGAGTTTATATCCGCATCAGATGATGCAAATGTAAATCGTTAGCATCCCAGAAACAGGGATACTGCTGGGATTTTGCAGCAAACATACCGATGATCAGGAAGTAGCAGATCTGCGCTCTGTAAAACCTACAGGTCACCACAGTCAGGAATAAACACACCACATGAAACAGCAGGAGTCCGATTAGCCATGGCTCCGACCACTGTACCTATAAACACATCAAATGTTCACTGTCGTAAATCGTTTTCAGTAAGTCGCTGACAGCTAACACACTAAAGTAGCTGTTATGACATTTTGGGAAACAAATATAAAACTTACAGACATAACAAACGTCCATATCGACGTTATTCTTAAATTACTGAATCCATCGATTGGTATGGAGCTAATATTCTCTGTTGTTTGGTCCGTCATCCTCTAAAAAAAGCACAGAGCTAACCGTAGCTTAGCTTGTCGGAAATGTGAACGACGGCGGTTGACGTCAGAGAGAGGCAGCCAATTACATGCCTTCATGGTGTAAACTAAATAACTCTTTCAAACTGTATTTATTTATCAATTGATGTGTGAAGCTTTAGTACACAAAAATAAAAGAGACTTATGACGTACTCAACTTTATTACATATTTACAAACATATTCAGTGAGGGGAAAAAAAAGTTTAACCAAAACCAGAAGTACGGTATATAATTAAAACTCAGTTTTCATTTCCAATCATGGAATAAAGTTTAGATTACAGATAAATGACATGTATTATCAAAATATTGTACTAGTACTCAAAAACCTAATTTGAGTCTCCAAATCTATTTAACCGATAAAAAAAGCAAACACTAACAAGGTCTTTAAAATGTACTAAAAAAAAAAGACTATTTATAGTGCAGTGTACCTTAAAAAATAGATGTTCACTTTTGCTTTCCTCAATCAGCTGAGCTGTATCTGCCTGATATATTTCTCCCTTGTTTGCTGCCTACAGGTTCTTAAATTAATTCACCCTAAATCACATTTCTCTTTGCAGCTTTACCAATCATTGTGTCTCCTTTAGTTACAGACATTATGTCTTGCTCTAGTCATCTATCAATCCTCTAGACCAGTAACTACTCTTAGAGTATAACATAAAATGTATGACTTTATTTATTAATTGGCCATAGAAACTCACCCTTCAACCCTGTCCTGACTTAAAATGTATAACTTCTACCTCACACGTCATCATATCCTCACTGTCATGAAGAAATCTTGCATTCATGTCCCGAATCTCTTTGCCAGACCTGACCTTCTCCAGCTCCTTCATGTCGATTTCTCTAGACCTACAAAAACAGACCCTACTGTCTTTTCTAGTGCTCTTCATCCACTTTTCTAAAGCAAACATCTTGTCTTTAATTTTAAAACCAGCATGTAACTACACTTCACATACTAGCCTCAAAAAACCGTGTTAAATGTGTATTAATGGCATTCAAGAGCAAAAATTTTAGAAAAAATGATAAAAAGGTGATAATGTGTCTTAAATTGCCCCAAAAAGTAAATCATGCTCATTTTCATAAATGTTTTTTCAAATGTATGGAGGCAGATGAGACTTCTAAAAGAGTGTCATTTTGACCTTCTTCTTAATAAGCCGAATTAATTTTAATTACAGTTACATAGTAATGACTTTCTTGTTGAATCTTTTCTATTGATAAATATATTTGTTCCAAATCATAAAAAAATAAAATAGTAAGGAGAATGATCTGATTATGAAAACTCACTGTTTTCAAATGAAAAAAAGTCTTATATGTTATGTATTTTATTCTATAAACTGTACGCTATAACTAATGTGTGCATCCTACTGGGTCAACCTAAAACAGACTTGTCTGAAATATAAAAAATAAAAAGCTTAAATTGGTTAAAAATAAATAAAAAAAGGACTTTTCAAAATACCTTATATCTTTCTTTTTGAGAACAACTCAAGTTTATCAAGTCTAAGTTGGTGGATCTTGTTGGCCTGGCCAGCCAGACTGACTTACAACATAAATCTCTCTTGGTTTCCAGGCTAGGATTTTATGCAACAGACAGAAAACAGTTATATTTCTTCAAATACAGGGCATTTAAAAAATACAGGGAGTCTTTGGACGATGTTTCATGGTTACACCTTTTCACGAGCAACACCACCGGCTGGATTCTTGCTGGAAGCTCATGTCCTGTCTCTGCTGGGGTGAAAGTCTGGGACAAAAGTCGCTGCCACTGTGATGGGAGTGGAGTAGGCGAGGGCAAAGTTGTACAGACCGAGCATCAGACATTTCCAGGTGGTTCGGAGTGCCTTTCCCACATTCTACATATAAAAGAGTACAGTCAAAGTTATATTTCAACAGAGTTAAGTAATTGTAAATGCAAAACCTCTTTAATGAGGTGTAACATGAGCTGTAAGGAAGAGGTTAAAATGATAAAAAGAGAAGACATGTTTTTCAAGGATGTATATCTATTGCTTTGGGGCACAATGGCAGCAGGAAGAACAGCTTATTCTCCTCTTGACTGAACCCTGAATACATAAAGTCCTGAGACCTCCATTGTCTTATGCATCCTGGACAGGAAAGGGCTGAGTGGCTGGAACCAAAACAGGATGAACTGAATATAACTATCTACTGCTAGAACTGACTATGAAAGTGCACATGTAGGTATGCAGTCTCCACTTGGAAGTTATACGTTGTGTAAAAGATACAGTGTGAGCTGATCAAAAGTATCTAGCCTTGCATTTTTGGCAAAGAACATTGAAAAGACAGCTTCTGATTAACTTCTCAGTATTTAAGCTCTTTTCCCTCTGGTTTGGCATACATTTTCCAGAAATACATCTAAAAATTCTTTATCACTATAACTGGTGAGGTTTTTGACAGAGTAGAATATAAAGTTCTGATTCAAGCTCCAAAAATAGCTGCGATTGTCTAGTTTTGTATCTGTTTGGTTCAGATCCTTCTTGACAAACTGGGATAACTTTATGGGACTTCGTAATTCTAAATGATATTTAAAGGCTCCATTACAGACCAATTTTCTGCAATACCTAAGTGATACCCCATTATGGAGCATTAAAACCCTTAATTAGATAAGAAAACACATGTGTGTGTATTATATATATATATATATATATATATATATATATATATATATATATATATATATATTTTTTTTTTTTTTCTTTTAAGTTTTTGTCTACATTTTCATGTTATTCAATGAATGTATTATTTACTTAAAATAAGTGATCTAATCCTTTATATAATTCAAAGCTCTTTGAAATATTGTATAAATCAACAAGGCTTATTTTCTCATAAGATTATAAGGGCAACATTTGTAAATGAGATTTTACTGGTTTAGTAGATATTTCTATTATTAGATATTACATCAAGTAGATTTTTCATTATTTTTAACAGAATTAAAAAAATCTGGACAGAGGTGACATTTAATTTGACATGCCTTCACCTTAAAGGAACTTAGAATATATACATCAACGCACTTTAAAGTTTAATCTCCCTGCATGGGAAAGTGTTTAGCAATAACATTTTAAGTTCACATCTAAACTGCATATATTGTCAACTTTAGCTCAGTTAAATGTTAAACTGAAATCTACCTTTTTTACTTTCTTGTAGTTTTCTTTCTTCTTCCTTTTCTTCTCTTCTTTTGCCTCATCATCCCTCAATGGCTCGTATCTCTCTTGTAGAAAGGTAAAGTTCAGGTCTCTTTTGGCTTTTTCATTTATTGTGCCATCATTGGAGGAAGACTGATCAACAGAGTCAACATGCCTTTGATACTTCGCTGCACAGCTTTTAGTCCTTTCACCTGACAATGCAGCTGAATCCCTGTCAAACAGTCGGGATGGAAGAGATTTGGGCTTCATGGTTTCTCCTTTTGCAGATTCAGTAGAAGTAAGCGAAGGTACTTCTTTCCTATTGGAGGGCAGCTGTGTTGTCTACTATTATGTGCATGGGGCTGAAATGCATTCCTTTGGTGTAGAAAGGGGGGTCGTGGGGGTTGGCACACAGCCCTTAAAGGTGCAAATCCCATCTCCACACAACCCTGAAAGGGATGCAATCCTACAAACTAATGCTACTAATGCTAATATTAATGACCAAAGGTTGTGTCTACTCTTTTTTTAATCCTTCCACAGTATTTCCTTCTAGTGTTTATATATGCTTTCACAATGCCTTGCAGGAATGTTAATTTCCCTTAAACTTCAGGATGTGTTGAACCTGAGAACATATGTCTCTGAGTCTTGACTCAGAATCACAATAGGATTCAGTTTTGGTAACCATCCATCTTCTCCCACTTGTCAGGGTCACGGTGGGGCCGTTGCCTATCTCTAGCAGTCTACAGGCGAAGTACACACTTGATGGGTCGCTAGTCTGTCACATGGCAACAGAGAGACACACAACCATGCACATGCACAACATGCAAACTCATGCAGAAAGACCTCGGGCCAGGAATCAAACCCAGAGCCTTCTTGCAAGGCGACAGTGCTACCCACTGCAGCCCCCAGCTTTGCTATCTGAGTAAGCCAATTCTTTCAAAACTTTTATCGTAATTTTGTATACACAGCATTTAACATGGCTAGATGCCAACAAAGAAATAAAAAAATTACACCCAAAACCCATTCAATTGCAGTTCTGTTTATATATACAGGGCTTCTTTCTTGCAGAAAAGCAACCTTTCTTCAAAGTGTAGTCTTTTAAAACTTCCACCAGATTTTCTTCCATCATTTGGTCGTTTAGATCCACTCAATTTCCCATCAAGTGTGACCACTCCATGCTGAAGAGATGGATCCCCATAGTATGACACCGTTGCCACCATGTTTCATCCTAGGTAAAGCATGTTCAGAGTAATGTCTGCCATTTTTTCCCCCTTAAACACAGAATTTAGCATGTGGGCCCGCAAACATCAGTTTAAGTCTCTTCATGTTCTGAAAAACTTTTGGCTTTTTTCCCTCCTGAGTTGTTAACTTGGGCCACTTGGCTATTCTATATAACCAAACCTAAATTTATATAGAAAGAAAAACAAACACCAAAACACTTTTAAAACAAAGTTTTTTTTAACTTTATTGTCTTTTAACTGCAACAATACTTAACCTGAGATAAATTATATATCTAGTGGAAAAACAAATGACACATTGTCCCAAAATGGACACATCTGAAGAACCTTTTTGCTGCTACTAATTTTTAAACTAGGATTTTTGGTCTGGCACACAACAGTTACTTTAAAATACATTTTCAACATAGAACAATTTGTATAAAGTTTGGTTGGCTATTAAATACAAAAACGGCAAAAGAGATTTCCCAGAAATAAACATTGAAATTACAATCGTATTTACATTTTGTTTCAAAAAAATTGAACTTAAGGAGACCGTTTAGTGCCTACATTTTATTTACAGATCAATGTAGCTCTTTTATAAACTGAAAACAAACTTTTACAAAACCTGAAATGCCTCGTGAGAACGGAGGTTAACCTTCTGAGTGCAGGATTACTTTTCCTAGTCCTGACTTCTTTGTGCGTTGTTTTGGCCTCGATCAGGATCCTTCAGACGGAGAATACGGATGGTTTCGCTTACTGGAAGAGAACTGAGCAGAAAACGCAAAAAATGATGTGATTTTATGTCAGTGTTTTAAAGAACTAATCTCTCTGCAGTATTTCCCACTAGCTTAACTAAAATCTCACTCCTTAAATGGTTTGCTGGTTACCTCATGTTCTGGGGGGTGAGGAAGATGAACTGTCTGAAGCGCTGGCTGGCAGCTACCTTCAGCATCATGTCCATCGATATTCTCCTGTTTACCATGTCCTAAAAGAGAATGAGAGGAAAAAAAAACGTTTTACTGATCGCTCTATGTCACTAAATTTGGATAAAAGATAAACTGGCTAACACCTTAGAGGAGCCTACCTTTGAACTTACATTTTTTTTTATTGTTTGAAAAGTGTTCGCTAAAGCTATTATCATAAAAATAAATATTCTCCCATGTTAAAATGAGAAAAAAGTTCTCAATATTATCTTGTACAAAGAAATGCAAAGGGGGCATGTCTTATTTTTAAGCTGGATTAAATGGAAGTCTATACAAGTTTGATCCTTTATAAAAATTTGCCAAACATTTGTCTTTATGTTCCATTTTATGATACAAGCCTTCTTGACTTAGGTGCTACAGTTGCTGTACATCACAGGTCTTCAGAGAATTGCTTCAACGGCTACGGTAAATTGAAGCTAAATTATGGGTTCCCTAACCGGATCTTAAAAATTTTTCTTCAACAGGAACCCCCTGCAATAAATTATAAACTGGTGTAATGTGATCAATTTTCCTGGTGTTTCATTAGGTCTGGGCCTGTGAATAATCCAGTGTTTTACTATTCCTGCAGTCTTTAACCTTATTGAGCCTTATATTTTTGAGAGAAACAAAACAAAACCATTTTCAAATTTTACTTTGGATTTTGTCTAAAAGATATGCATGCTAAGGGATAGTGAAGTGGCTCGAGAGCAGAGCCTTGGGGAACCCCAACATCTGTTCGATCAGATCTAATATCCAAATGTAATCAAACATAGTTTATGCTGATTTTCTCCTACCAACTCATGTCAATTAGAGAAACCACATACAAACCTAAACAAACACTAAATGTAAAGAAAATTATATCATTACCATGTAAACATCAAACTCATCCAGACAGCGAAAAGGGGACTCTGTGATGGCCCAGAGAGAGAGGACAAAGCAAACAGTAGAGAAGGAACGCTCTCCTCCAGACAGAGAACGCATGTCACTCAAACCATCTTCGGTTCCTTGGCCTGGCTGCACCTAAAAATTACATGTCATCCATGTTATTATTTCTCACTAAATCCCTTCTCTGTCAATTCTGCCAACATATAACTTAAACACAAGTGTTAAAAAGATATTTTCAGGAAATTTAAATGTAGAGATGCACCGATCAAGTAGACCTGTGTACACAGCCACTGTCAGGTGTCTCCAATCGGACTCAAGTCTAAACTATCTTGGCCACTTCAGGACATCACAGTGGTTAGCTTTCATTTTTAAAAAGGACGTTTTTTTAAAGCAGTTATTAAGCAATACTGAAGCAAGTCAAGTAGGCAAATAAATGAAACCTGCTTACCGAGATGGTCAAGGTCTCATTCTTGTGGTCAAAGGTCATACTTCCAGTGTAGCCTCTCTGAGCCAGCATACAGTTAAAGTAGTATTTACAACGAGCTGAGAGAAACCTAATGCAGAAAAATAAGAAGCTTTCAGTCGAATAGTGGGAGCCTTTTAAAGAAAAAGTACAATTTAATCAAGTCTCTACATGTTTTTATTAGCAGTAAAGAAAATGCATTTTGTCTAAGATTCACTTCTTACTTTCTGATATCAGCATAAACCTGAAGTCTGAAGTTCATGTCCTTATCCAGGGTTTGGATGAATCTGTTGAGGCATTTCATTTGTTGAGACATGGTTTTGTAGTTCTCTGAAGCCTCATGGAATTCCCTAGACAAAAGAAATAAGAGAAACCTAAATTACTAAATAAAACTAATTAATATAAGAGTTGGCAGCGCTCAATTACGTCGAGGAAATATAAAGAAAAGTGCATGGTTATAGCTTTTTAAGTATAAAAAGGGGGGGAAAAGAAGTAATGCACTTACCTTACAATCTCCTCAGTGTCCCCTTGTTGTTTCTGCTGAGTTGTGATCTTGACTTTGAGTCTGTTTATTTCACTGTCAATACTTCTTGCAGTTCGACAGACTTCTAGACGTTCTGGACAAATCTCAGAAGCCTTAGCGATGGACGCCTGAGTTAAAATTGGACAAACATTAGGAAAGCAGGAGATGTAGTGTAGGCAAGACAACCAGATACAGAGTAAAAAGGAAGCTGCATCATGTAAAGGAGAAAAGGAGAGTTCAGACATTTTATTTTGCTAAACTTCAACATGAAAATTTATAATTCAGTTTAAATTTTATAATTTGTTAATTTTTAATAGCGCATTAATTTATTTGTATCAATTTATTACAGCTTTTAGAAGACAGTGTCATGGCTACCAAAGGGCTGGACCACAAGAAACCAGAGGGATTTAAATAGTGTGGTGCAAATGATCTTCATTAACACAAACAAATGGCCCATTTCTTTTATGGTTTAAAACACTGAAAGCAACTGCAAATAAAGACTGTACAGCACTATGTATACCTCTGGTTTACAGTGATATGCAATAGCAGTCCTATTGGATGTAAAACCTGCCAGTGCTGCAGAGACCTCTGAAGTACTGTTGGGTTATTTGTGAACTTTATTTCTCATTTTACTACAAGAACTATAATATTTTAGCTTCAGTAAAAGAAGAGAACACAGTAAATGAAATGCAGTGTAGTCATACTAAAGTATATTCTGGGAAGTTTATATTAGCAAAGAAAGGTGGCCTAACATTTTCAGTTGCATCTCAAAGCAAGGTCCTATGGAAATTCAGTGACCTTGGATTATTTAAAGCAATAACAAAGAAAATCTGGGTATAAACAATGAAAGGTAATAAATCCTTCCATGTCTAATATTAAAAAAACATCTTATTTTGCTCTAAACCATCTAGAAATGATTTTGCAGCTGGATGCTGACAATCAAGACGCTAAACCATCATTCTGACATACCGCAAGGTTCTCCTCTTTGCTCTTGAGTTGAGCTTCAAGAGCCTGAATGTTTTGGAGATGGGCGCTGCGTTTGTCATCATAGTGTTTCTTGTGATGTCTGCACTTCATCACCTCCTGGTCAATTTTGCTGAGCTCTTCCTGCAGCACAAGAAGCACAGTAAATGGAGTGTTTGACATGACATTTAAAGCTGATGCTAAATATATTGGTAACATTATTTAGAACATCATGCAAAATTTAATCTCCCCCTTATGCAGATCCTAACCACTGAGAGGGAAGTAAAAGCAATAAGTACATTTAGATTTAACTGCAACAAACTTTGCATAAAATATATGAAAGTACTTTTTAATGACAAAAATAAAACAAACGTGACCATTTCTGTCTGAGTTAGACCTCTTCCAACAAAAGAACTGCAGGATCCTGTTATTAAGTAGATGAAATAAATTATCCAAGTGACAAAGATACCTTGATTGAATCAGCCTCCTCAGTAATGGTGCTTATACGTTCTTTGTGCTGCTTGTATTCCTGGTCTGCTTTTTCATAATCTTCTGTCAGGTTGGCCATTTTAATTTTGGCCTCTTCATACGCTTCACGCTTAGATGAAATCTTTGCAACAACTTCCTGAAGATCCTCCTCCTAAGATAAAACACTTATGAGTCTACAACTGCTGGTAAACAAGTTTTGAAGTACTTGTGATGACAAAGAGGTGATCTGTTCATACCAGTGGCTTGAGGTCCTGTGACTGAGGCTCTTCCACATTCTGTAGGTCTTTCAGGTCAAGCTCCATTTTTGTGGCCTTGCCCTACAACAAACAAAACACAGTTCAGCATAACTTGATATCAGTGGGATTATAAATGTTCAAAAATTAAATACTGGGATTTATCGTGACAGCCTTTTTTCCTCTTCTGAAATTAAATGTTTACATTTTTTAAAGCAACTAAAAGAAAACTGTCATTTTACACAACTACATGCTCAAATGGTTGAATATAACTATTTATACTTAAAATACTTAAGTATTTCAAAGCAAGGCAGTTTCAATATTACTAATTCCAGATCTGTACCATTTCTATAATTCAGAATTTCCTAATTGTGGGACTATAAAGGGATTTTCTGTTCTATTCTAATCTATTCTATAAATGCTCCACTGTTTTACTTAGATTAGAGATTGAAGAAGCATTTGAAAAACTCGTTACTTTGGCAGCTCTTTGCTCCATGAATACTCTTCTTAGAAGTTTCTCATTCTGACTGATGTCTTCATCCAACTTTCTCATATGTTGCTGAAAACGGGCTTCCTGGCCTTTCTGGTTCTCTAGTTCTCTCTGTAAATGTCTGAAGGGAAGAGAGGGAATAGGGGAGGAAGGGAAAAAGAGAACAGACATAAGGACGGATTTGATTCAATTTCAATATGCTGTTTTAGCATAACTGCTTCATTTGAAGAAAAGGTGTCCATCAAGAGCTACCAAAAAACAGACCTGATTTCTTCCTCAACATCGCCTGAGAGGTAGATTGCTCTGGTCTGGTCTGACGAATAATTACGGTTGGTGTAGATCTGATCACCATCCTTAGAGAAAGCCTGAGTGCAGTTAGCGGGAGGATTCCTGCACTGCATTACTCTTCGGGCATCTGTGCGATTCTGCAAACATACATTTAAAAAACACAAAAACAACTAATAAGAACAAACTAAAATAATACGTTTTATCAGTGTCCAGCAGGTAGACACATTTTTTTTTCTTCAGATTTTTACTTTTCTCTCTTCTCTTAGATAATCAATGGATACACATCTCATCCTGTCAAACATTGCATACAAAAGTCTAAAGTTTTCCAAATTTGGAGGACATATGGTAAAATCATTGGGGTGTTCCCTGTGGAGAAAATACTTCTCACCTTGATAAGAAGAACGCTCTCAATGCGTCTTTGATCAATAAGGCAGTTGGCCACAACAGGGTCTTCAATCTCCAGAGCTTGAAGCACAGAGGGGTATTGGGGATGATTCACAGCCCTGAATAAACAGAGAATATCTATTTAGGACAATGCTAAAGGTCTGAACGTTTATGACCAACACACAATGTTAAAACCCATCAGGAAGAATAATCCATTCTGAACTGTTTTACAGTTGCATCGTAGAGAATTCTCACTTCACTGTAAGGCTGAGTAACTTCAGGAACTCGGTTAAAAAAGGGAGCCTGAAGCAAAATATATTGCCAAACATATTGGGGCATTTGCCTTCACACGCTCAGTGTCATAGAATCTATGTGATGCTGGCTTTAAAGCTACAGCAGCTATTGATAAGGTTTAAGGTGCGCTCATGGTCATTGCTGGACGTTTTTACCGAAACTTATTTAGGAAGTCAGACGACGCTGGACAAGATGGCCTCTGATCTAGTCTTAATTAGAGCAAACTTTTTTTTAATCTAAACTAAATTCTGAATATTTGTCGTCAATCACTGAGCTATAATCATTATATTTAGAGAAATAAAGGCTTGAAATCTGTTGTTTGGAGAGTAATAAATCCACCAGTAGGCTGACTTTTTGAAATGAATTACATAAAAACAGAATGGACTAAATCACCGCTAATGAACCTGCACACACTTTTCAGTTAATATACACCTAAAAAAAATAGCAAGTTGCCAAGGTGAACTGAAAATAATTTCCTTTAATTCTGAAAGGAACAATCATCTTTAAAGAGGGAAGACAGACTAACTTGAAGAACTAATATATTTAGTAAAATCTTGGATATTTTTTTTTTTTTTACCTTTTTCTTGTATCATGGACATGTTGTAGGAATTGGCTGGTTATGATGGTTGGCCTTTGACCAGCTGGGTACACTCTGCTCATGAGGCCTTTTAGCACCTTTTCATCCTCATAATTGTCACATGCAAAGGCCACAAGCAGGAATTTAAGACATACTTCTACAGCCAGAGCCAGCTCTGGGTCCTTCAGACCGATAAGGTAACCTGTGGAAGGGAATACATGAATAAAGAGGAAATAAGCATTTTAGTTAGAGTTATTGCCCAGTTATTGGATGTTTTCCTTTATAAACTGTTACCATCAAGACAGGCAAATTTTGGACAACTTCAATTTTACCCAGAGGTCCTCGAGGTTTGTGCTTGAAGTGGCCTTTTCTGTAAGCCTCCTCAATGCCATTGAGCAGTGCAGGCATATGTTCTCCAAAACGCCGAAGGCGGTTAGAGCGACTGCTCTCCATGGTCTGCAGTTTCCTCCCGTTTGCTTCAATTGATTTATTAAGAGCATCATACTCTCTCCTGGAAAGACAAATAATGATATATGTATAAGCTTTTAATGGTTTTCCATTGTGCAACAAGTATTTTATTCTAGCAGGATCTGCTTAGCAGCGAAACATATTCAGTGCCTACCAAGATTTCACAATTTTCACTCAATAATTCTTAAAAGGGATAGTTCGGGATTTTTGACATGAATCTGTATGGCATCCCCATCACCAGTGTCATGCAATCACACTGACTTACCCCTGGCAGCATCCTGTGAGCAGAGTTCTCGTCCAGCTTTGGTCAGGCCGAAAGTAGTCCGGCAGGTTTGCTAGAACCATCGAAATAAAACGTTTCTCTTTCCAAAACATTATGTGTTCAAAAGAGTGATATTTTTGCATCCCAAAAACATTGTAGTGGAAAAAGTCACACGTCGTTATCACTTGGTCCTATTTTCTCTCTGTTCGTATCAGTGCGCGCGACACCATGACCTGACAGCTAGGGCCCACCTGTTTGATTCGCGATTGTTTACTACTGGGGAAGATGTCTGACTACGAGAGCGACGAGGAAAACACCGACTTCCACTTAGAGCCAAAGCGATATCTTTATGAACCCGAGTACACTGACGATGAACTTCGACAAATGGAGTTAGATCGGGCAGAAAGAGAGAGGGTGGACAGAGAAGTGATGGAAGCTGAAGCCGGAGCCGCAGGATACAGAACCTTTCCATTGATGAGGATGTCGGAGTTGCAGCAGCTGCTGTCTGCATCACAAACAACAGCGACTTCCCTGCCCTCCTCAAATGTCTAATGAACTTGGTTAGCTCTAAAGCTAGCTCGGTGGCGTTGCTTGTAAACGCAGTTGCTAAGTTAGCACTGAAATGAGCTGGAAAAGTTGAGCTCGCTGTCAGAATGACGGCGCGCACTGATACGAACAGAGAGAAAATAGGACCAAGTGATAACGACGTGTGACTTTTTCCACTACAATGTTTTTGGGATGCAAAAATATCACTCTTTTGAACACATAATGTTTTGGAAAGAGAAACGTTTTATTTCGATGGTTCTAGCAAACCTGCCGGACTACTTTCGGCTTGACCCAAGCTGGACGAGAACTCTGCTTACAGGATGCTGCCAGGGGTAAGTCAGTGTGATTGCATGACACTGGTAAAGGGGATGCCATACAGATTCATGTCAAAAATCCCGAACTATCCCTTTAAAATGAGTCAATTTTTTTAATTGCATTGAAGTATATTACAGTCCTAGGCCACATGAGCTGTGTAGTGGGTTTGTGTGCCTGTCCTGCTTTATCCTTCTCCTCTGCCCTCTGTGCACCAGAGATATAAAGTACCTTTTTCCCTGTTCACTCTGGGTTTTTTTCATGTCTCCCTGAACACGTTTGCTACTCTGGTGCTGCGATTCTGCTCCAAGGCCTCATTGTTGTTTCATTTGGCAGATTTGAATTAGCCTTTTCTGTTTTGCTTCATATCAATTACCATTTGTATTTGTTATTCTCTGCTTTACTTCTATTACCATCATATTTTGCTCTTTTACTTGTAGCATGATCTCCCATTATGTGTGCAACACTGAGCCAGTTGTAGCTTATGCTTAAAGTAAATATATGCTCTTATCCAAACATTAAAATCTCCACTTCAGTACATCTACACATTTTTACGAGACAATTCTAATAATAAAAATGTATTTCAGTGTAATTTGTCTGTTCACATACTTCATTTTTGCTTTCTCTTCTTTGGCAAGGCTGCTGGCGTGTTCAAACTGGTCAATCTGCTGACCTAGAGTGGAAATCTGAAGATTTATGTTTTCCAGCTCAGTCGTAATCTGCTTCATATGTTCTTTCCTTGCTTGGCTCTCCGCTCCTATTGTTTGACTGATGCTAAAGAAACGACAAGGAGTTTTGAGCAGTTAGAAAAAAACAAAACAACAGAAGGCACCTGTCATTGGTTCATACAGAGAAGCATAAACACAGCTCACACCTCAGAGTCAAATCCTTTATACGGGAATTCAGTCGAGCTTTGTCTTTTTCCAGATCCAAGAGGTTATTCCTGCATCTTTTGACGGTGAACTGGAGAGGCGCAAAAACATTTACTGTCTTCTAATGAAATTAATATATATCAGCATGATTAACATGAATAATGTATCAATTTAAGTCTTTAAAACCAACTCCAACAACATAGATACATTTTCAAAGACAGTGACATAGTTTATCATTATAGTTTTGTTTCAGATATAAATGACCACCACAGTTTAAAAATTCCCAAAGGAAACCCTTTACTTTATATGTACGTTTTGCACTTGACAAAGGAAAACTCAGATAAATGTATTGTAGATAGACGGTTAATTTGCTAAAAGTGGTTTAATTTAAAATAGATTAGCATTTCAGTAGTATTGCCCATAGAAACATAAACCGCAAAGTGATTTTTTTTAAGGGGAAGCACTAATGGGTAAAAACTGTTGTAACTCTGACCTCACAGGACTTTAGAGTGTTGTTGCGTTTCTGGGCCTCGGCCTTCAGTTCGGCACATTTAGGTTGGAGCTCCTGGACTTGCAGAGCGATTCCCTCCAACTGTTCCTGGATCTGTTTGTACTCCTGCTCAGCTTCCTCCACCTTACTCTGTTAAAATGGATTTTATCAGAGACAGAAAGGCTGTGGACAAAAATGCTTTAACTTACATAAAAATATACAACCAGTGAAATCAATAAGATAAGAAATAATCAAACAATTAGTTTAGGAGGTATTATTATAAACTTTACCTGATACATAATTCCTGTTCTAAGAGCAACACATGCCCTACCTTCCATTCGTTAACTTTTTCATCATATTTCTCTGTGGAGCGTCTGTTAGCCTGCAACTTTTCCTTAAGTGGTTCCAACTCTCTCTCCAGTTCAGCCACCTGAAAGATTAAACCAGCATTAAATACGAAATCCTAAACTGGAGCCTAAATCAGAATATCAAGGGAAAATACTAAATAATTTACCAAGGCCCAAGCCATCTGTTTCTGCAGATCTTCCAGATTGGTCTGCATTTCACTAAGAGAAGCCAAGCTCTTGTATCGTTCCGCCTTTTCATGGTATTTACGTTTCAGTTCTTTCAAGCACTAAAAAAAAAAAAAACAAAAAAAAAAAAAAACATCCAAACTTTGATTACAAACAAAAAAAGAGGTTAATATGTTTTGTGTATATATATATATATATATATATATATATATATATATATATATATATATATATATATATATATATATATATATATATATAGAACTTTAGAAACATTTTTGAAGGTCCTTTAGAAAAAATAATATTCCTAACCCTCCTGCCCGAGTTAATGCAATGAGTGAATGATAAATAAAAAATGGATAAAGGACATTGATAAAAATGTTTTATAAAAAAACTGCTAACCAATTCATACCTCTCCATACTCCTCCACTTTTTCCATTGTGATTTTCTTGGTGGCCTTAATGTAAACAAAGTCCTCTCTCATCTGATCCAGCTGGGTTGCCTTCAGAAAAAACTGGGAAAAAAATAAAAACACTTTTAACACCTGCGTCTCTCCAGACAAAACACAAACAGAAATCTCTTTGCCTTCAGAAAACTGGTAAATGGAGATAAGAAATAGAACGATTGCTTTTGGGGATCAAGATAAAAAAACAAAACAAAAAACAAACAAAAAACAGTTCATTTTATATAACTCACCATTTAACTTCAGACATTTTTGGTCAATCAAAGCATCAAACATAATAATGGACTCTGAAGCTCTTTTTTAGCTTGATAAAGTATGATAAATGTTAGGAACATATGCTTTAATGTATGAAAGTAATTTTAAAATCCTCTATATTCTGTTGGATTTGAAACAGGGAAAAGGAATTACCTTAAGATTAGGATTCACTCTATGATAAACTACTGAGTCTACTGGCATAATCGGAAGCCATTCTATGGGCCTGATAGCTGCTCATAACCATTTATTGGGATCATAACATCCAAAGCGCGGCTGCAAACAGCCACTTAGTATTTACGGAGTAAAAGAAGACTGAATAGACATGAGGAGGGATGCATGAGATGATGCACAGGTTCGATGTATTAGAGTACTGCATTAAAATCTCTAGTTCCAGTGAGGTGAAATGGGCACATCCTGTTGCCTGTTGTCATGGTGAGTCGTTGAATCGGTGCTCCACTGATAATGGCTTTTCATACTTGTTACGCATCTGCTAAACTCTAAGTGGTTCTACTTGGAGTTGATTGAACTAATTCATAGCAGCCGTTGTTCCCGACATTAGGCTAGATCAATTTAGAGTTGCGGATTGGAATCTGAGTTTATTAAACCTGCTTCGTGAAACGGACCCCAGAGCAGGGCTGATCACATGGAAGGGGGACTCTGTTCTCATTTCTGTAGAAATTAAAGAAATTCTGAGTGGGAGATGATCGCCAATTTCCCTACTTTAACTAAACATGTTTAATTTCTTTTATTCACACTGCCAAGATAAAATATAAGCTACTTTGAACAAACCTTATACTTGTCTCCTTCTCCTTTAGAGTGTAGGAAGTATTTGCTCATCTCCTGTGTGAGAACTGATACAGGGTTGTTAACCTTTGAAAGAAAAAAAAAAAAAAACTTAACAACACCAATTCTGTAATATAGATGATATGATACAGAATCCTCCATTACACAGGCTTAGCTGGACAGATAACATTCTGGCATATTTAGATCTACATTCTGTAATGCCATACATCTTACCTGGATGTTGAAATTGTCCAAGATGGAAACAAGTTCTTCTTTTTTGGTGGAGACAACATTACCTAAGACCGGATGAAAACAGGACAATCAATCTTTGAGTTTTTAAGTGAATCACTGGAGGCGACCTTTAGTCCAATTATATATATATTTTTTCACATGGCCAGAAATTTGTGAGAAGGACGTTTGCTTAAAGAGTAGGAAGATAAAAAAGGAAAGCACAAAAATGGAGCAATCTGAAAATCTCTCCTGTCTTTACCCGATTTGTTTCTCAGCTTATAGGTTCTCAGGCCTTCCCGTGTTATTCTCAGGTCTATAGTGATGGCTGGACCGTACACCTCAAGCTTGTAAGCATCTCTTCCTTGGTTAAGCAGGGTGATCGACACCTCAGCTGCGCTGCAAAAATAGAAAGAAATTCCATGAGTAAATAATCTTTTAAATTCAGTATTTCATATTGCTCTACAACTTTGTGCATCAAGTAGGCAAAATGTGACTTTTGAGGGGCCAACCGTAAGCATGAAACAAAACAAGGCCAAAGAAAAGAAAACTAAATCAAGACTAATTCAAAACCTGGAAAAAAGAAAATTATATAATTAGGCTTATTTTAATTAGAAAAAAAAATCATATTTTACATTGATTAACAGTAGAGGCAGCATCTCATATACAATAATTAATGAAAATGATATAAAATCAATGATAATTTGTTTACTGGTTAAGAAAATAAAATGTCTCATGCTACACATGTTTGTAGACAAAATTACTTGTAGTTCAGTCATTTCTTTATTGCTTCATTCCTGCACCTAACTAAATAAAATAAATTAAACTGAAGCATATTTTTAATTTAGCTGATCAGATTTAGGGAACTAATAGTAAATAATCAACCACCTTCTGTTATACATTAAAATAGGCAATTGGTTTAATATACTTTGCTGCCTTGCACAGGGAGCAAGCAGAATGTTTATAGGAATACACCAAATCTGGGCTCAATATCTGACATTAATACTGCAGATATAGCCTATAACGCATATTTACTGATATCATACATGTCTAAACTCTTTAGAGACAATTGTGGGTGCTTAACTGACCACAGCGATGACACTACTCCTCTAATTCAGTTAAGCACCCATAATCCTGAGCTGGATCACAATCACTATAACATGACCAGACAAAGCCTACATGACTGATTTCTCGCCTTTTGAAACAAAAAACAACAACTAAACATAAATACATATCAGTTGCTAAGATCAGTTCAGTTTTACTTATCACTGATACGCTTAAAAAATATAATCACATATCTCTATTTCAAACACTGCCTATTATAAACTGAAGCAACGAGTGGCACCTTAGGTTTATTGAATCTACATAACGACCATTAGATTTAACTGGACCTGTATGGTTTGGACAGATGAGATTGAAATTAAGCTTGCAGTGACAAACACTCCTGGTGTTAATGATTTTGTATGTAGAAAACCCATCATGCCATCTATTAAGGGCTCTGGAAGGCTAGTGATGTTGCAGGCCTGTTTCTTTTCAAAAAAATGCTCGGTTCCACTTTTTCCATGGAAAATGTTGCTTATATGAGACTCCAGTCTGAAATACTTGCTGCTCCAAAACTGCCTTCTATGAGTGAAACAACACTGCAGTAACTTTCAGTCCACATTGTTCCAGGAAGCATTGAAGAATTTTTTTAAGTGTCAACAGGAAGCCATTTATTACATCATTTAGGTCAGGCATCCCCAAAGCCGGTCCTCAAGGGCCGCTGTCCTGCAAGTTTAAGAGGTTTCCTGATTTACATTGATAGTTGATTTAGTCTTTAACTGAACTGCAATCATCAGAATCAGCTGTGTTAAAGCAGAGAAACCTCTAAGATCTGCAGGAAAGTGGTCCAAAGAGGACCGACTTTGGGGATGCCTGATTCAGGTGCTTAAAGGGGACCAAACAAATAAAAAGAGGGTGAGCTTTGGCTGCCAGCTCAGTATAGAGGGTTTTTGTCATCAGCTCTTCTCTCAACTCCTATGGGAAAACAACTGCATCTCATTGCAATGGGGACAAATGACCAAATGCAGGGTAACCTCTTTGGTGTTGTAAAGACTTCTGCATGCAGGACTGCACACAAAATTTAAAGGCTGAGCACCACGTCCTTCATTGATATGGTTATTAAACAAGATTTAAAGGCCTAAATAGAGGTTTTGTTCCATATATTAATAAGGTCTAACACCTTTTTCTCCCTCCACTGAGGGGTGCTTTGGCAGCTGCTCTCCGCCTTGCAAACTGCTAACTTCAATAACCACTGCAGGCAAAAGATTCCGACAAAGGTCAATGTGAAGTGATGACAAAGTTCCAACTGAAATCACATTCAAGAGGATCGGATATGAGTTAAAGTCAGGGCCATATTATTATGAAAGGACTTAAATGTGACTCGAACAGATCAGATTTGGTCTAATCTGATGGGTCCAAGTTGTTTTTAAGAGTTCGACCCGCTCACTTAACATATAAATATTCAATAAACACCTACCTTTCTCCTTCTTTCACAAAACCCTTCAAGGATGATCCTCGATTTGTAGCTTGCGCATTCCCCCCTAAGGCAACTATCAGAGCTGTCAGAATGGCACTTTTTCCACCTGTATAAACAATTTGGAGACAAACGATTACAGAAGATTGGAGACAAACTGTAATTGTTGTAAAATAGACTTTTCTACCTTTCAAGTTTAAACTATAGACAGATCCAAAAAGACTTAAAAAGCCTTGGAAAGCTGGTGCTGAGTAGTACAATACCACACACAGACGGCACTATCAAATTGTTTTCAAACCTAGTAGGCATCATATGTAGGAAGGTACAAAAAAAATCCTTTGTGATCTTAGAAAGCGCTAGTATACCTCCATATCCTGCTTGTAGGCAGGGTTAGGGTAGGATTGGGTTTGTTGATGGGTCTTTAATTTGATCTAGCACATTCAATTTATCTTCTGACTTCTATCAGACTTTGATCAAAACTGTGAGACCATTTCTGAATGTGGCCAAAGTATCTGGATTTCAAAGTGTCTTTAATGCCAGGGGTTAACATGTTTTACTAAAACACACTTTAGTCTCTAGTGGCACAAATTTGAACTGACCTTATCTTTTATGGACAAATAAACACCAAAAACGACTCTTTCATGATTTAACCAGCCTTTCACAATCCATAAGAAATTGAAAAGAAATCTTAATTTTTCTGTAAAACTACCTTCTCAAACTCATAAAAATATTTTACTGCATCAATCCAGTCTGTGTTATGCATTTACAGTAGTTCTGAAACAGAGATTATTCTAGAATCCATCCCAGCTCATCTTTTTTTCCCCTTTCACAATTTTACAACCATTAAAGGGATAGTTCGGTATTTTTGACATGAATCTGTATGGCATCCCGATCACCAGCGGCATGCAATCACACTGACTTACCCCTGGCAGCGTCCTGTGAGCAGAGTTATCGTCCAGTTTTGGTCAAGCCGAAAGTAGTCCTGCAGGTTTTTAGGTACAGCGAAATAAAACGTTTCTCTTCCCAAAACATTATGTGTCCAAAAGAGTGATATTTTCGCATCCCAAAAACATTGTAGTTGAAAAAGTCACACGTCGTTATCAATTGGTCCTATTTTCTCTCTGTTCGTATCAGTGCGCGCCGTCATTCAGACAGCGAGCCCAACAACAGCCATGTCTCCTTCCGCGGCGGAGGGAGACATGGCTGTTGTTGGGCTCGCTGTCTGAATGACGGCGCGCACTGATACGAACAGAGAGAAAATAGGACCAATTGATAACGACGTGTGACTTTTTCCACTACAATGTTTTTGGGATGCGAAAATACACTATATTGCCAAAAGTATTTGCTCACCTGCCTTGACTCACATATGAGCTTAAGTGACATCCCGTTCCTAATCCATAGGGTTGAATATGACATCGGTCCACCCTTTGCAGCAAGAACAGCTTCAACTCTTCTGGGAAGGCTGTCCACAAGGTTTAGGAGTGTGTTTATGGGAATTTTTGACCATTCTTCCAGAAGCGCATTTGTGAGGTTGCACACTGATGTTGGACGAGAAGGCCTGGCTCTCAGTCTCCGCTCTAATTCATCCCAAAGGTGTTCTATCGGGTTGAGGTCAGGACTCTGTGCAGGCCAGTCAAGTTCATCCACACCAGACTCTGTCATCCATGTCTTTATGGACCTTGCTTTGTGCACTGGTGCACAGTCATGTTGGAAGAGGAAGGGGCCAGCTCCAAACTGTTCCCACAAAGTTGGGAGCATGGAATTGTCCAAAATGTCTTGGTATGCTGAAGCATTCAGAGTTCCTTTCACTGGAACTAAGGGGCCAAGCCCAGCTCCTGAAAAACAACCCCACACCATAATCCCCCCTCCACCAAACTTTACACTTGGCACAATGCAGTCAGACAAGTACCGTTCTCCTGGCAACCGCCAAACCCAGACCCGTCCATCAGATTGCCAGATGGAGAAGCGCGATTCGTCACTCCAGAGAACGCGTCTCCACTGCTCTAGAGTCCAGTGGCGGCGTGCTTTACACCACCGCATCCGACGCTTTGCATTGCACTTGGTGATGTATGGCTTGGATGCAGCTGCTCGACCATGGAAACCCATTCCATGAAGCTCTCTGCGCACTGTTCTTGAGCTAATCTGAAGGCCACATTAAGTTTGGAGGTCTGTAGTGATTGACTCTGCAGAAAGTTGGCGACCTCTTCGCACTATGCGCGTCAGCATCCGCTGACCCCGCTCCGTCAGTTTACGTGGCCTACCACTTCGTGGCTGAGTTGCTGTCGTTCCCAAACACTTCCATTTTCTTATAATACAGCTGACAGTTGACTGTGGAATATTTAGGAGCGAGGAAATTTCACGACTGGATTTGTTGCACAGGTGGCATCCTATCACAGTTCCACGCTGGAATTCACTGAGCTCCTGAGAGCGACCCATTCTTTCACAAATGTTTGTAAAAACAGTCTGCATGCCTAGGTGCTTGAATTTATACACCTGTGGCCATGGAAGTGATTGGAACACCTGATTCCAATAATTTGGATGGGTGAGCAAATACTTTTGGCAATATAGTGTATCACTCTTTTGGACACATAATGTTTTGGGAAGAGAAAAGTTTTATTTCGCTGTTCCTAAAAACCTGCAGGACTACTTTCGGCTTGACCAAAACTGGACGATAACTCTGCTCACAGGACGCTGCCAGGGGTAAGTCAGTGTGATTGCATGCCGCTTGTGATCGGGATGCCATACAGATTCATGTCAAAAATACCGAACTATCCCTTTAACTTTTTTTTCTTCGTCATCATATCCATGTTTGTTTTTCTCTGACACTGAATGAGTCTGAAAAACTGATGTTTGAATATCCTCAATGTGCCAATTGTTCTAAGAGACCAACTCACCATATGCAAACTGTAGTGGTGTAACGAATTATTACCGGTACATGATCCTAATGGATTTCCCTCCACAGTTTGACGTGGTTTATTTATTTATTTTGGTGGACCAAAATAAATAAATAAAGAGGCATGTTCACATAGAGAGTGCCTTTTTAATCCAAACAAGTTAAACGGAGCAGTATTCATGGCTAGCAGAGAGGAGCTTGAAAAACCACCTTCATCCTTTATGTCGCATGTATGGTGTTATTTTAGCTTCCCTGTCAAACACAGTGACGTTGGGGGAAGGGTGGTGGACAAAACAATGAAAGTATGTCTGCATTGTGGCACGAAAAAAATGCATATGAGAATGGAAATACGTCTAACATGGCAACCCATTTGAAGCTACATCATCCAGTCAGCACCAACGACTGAAACCAAGTTGAGTGCTGCTCAACAACCACTTATCACCGCGGCATTTAAACAGCCTTTAGTGGAAGGATCTGACAGGGCTAAAGCTATAACAAACACTATCGGAGTTTCTATAGCTGCAGTCATGAGACCATACTCCGTTGTGCTAAACAAGGACTAAATATACGCTAAAGGTATGCAAATCTGTTGCGCACCCACTTTAGTGAAAAAGTTGTGCCTAAGCTGTAAGAGCAGGAAAAAACAAAACTTGTTGCTGAACTGTCACGGGCACCTTCTGTTACTCTCACCACAGACGGGTGGACCTCCAGAGCTACGGAGAGATATGCAACTGTGACTGAAAGTGGGAGAGGAGAAGCCCCGTGCTATAGACACGCCCCCTCTATGAGAGCCACACAAGCTCAAATCTGGCACAGATACTGACAGATGCGTTAGCAGAGTGGAAGATAGAGAGACCCAATACAAACATCCTAGCCACAACAGATAATGCTAAAAATCTGATAAATGCAGTGATTGAGGTAGAACTGGGGGTACTTTTCACATGTAATAAATTTAGCATTTCAAAGGGGAATCACATTGAATAAGATGGACTGCATCCTTCCAAGGATTAACAAGGTGATTTCCGGGGCGTGCTTTGGTGGCACAGTGGTTAGCCCACACGACCCATATGCGAAGCTTTAGTCCTTGACGCGGGTGACTTGGGTTCGAATCCGTTCTGTGGTCCTTTCCCGCATGTCTCTTCCCTATCTCATACCCCCTTTCCTGTCAGCCTACTGCCAATAAAAATGAGCCACAAGAGCCGTAAAAAAAAGTGATTTCCTACCTTCTGAGAAACACAAGAGCTACACATGTGCTAAAGACCAAACAAGAAATGCTACAGCTGCTCAATCATAAGCTCATACTAGGCTTGTCCCGATCCGATCCACGTATGTGATCGGACGCCGATATTGGCAAAAAAATGCGTATCGGCAACGCATGTAAAAATGCCGATCCAGACTGCGGATCCAGGTTAAAAAAAATAATCTGGTTCGTATTTTCCAGTTTCACCGATTGAAACGATCCATTCCACTATTTTGCGCCAGTGTTTCCCGAATCCGGTCCGCATTTTCCAGAACACCTTCAACACACCCACAGGTCTTTTTGGGTCTGTCTTCCGGCCTAACCATTAAAACAAGTGAATTGGAAGATAGCGGGAAAATGTCAGCCGTGTGGGATTATTTTATCCTGCATGTGTAGATGGAGACTAGGTGTGGAGGAGATTGGGGAGTATAAGGCATTTTTGTGTAATAGTTCACTATTATTTGCACTGATTTTTTTTTAAGCAGTGTCTTTTTTCAAGACTAGAGTCCTGATTCTAAGTTAATAGAATATTTTCCATATTCTCTTTTGCATTTTTATTAAAACTTACAGTAATACTTGCACCTTTAACTGTTTAAGGTTTTACTGTTCACTGTGCAATTTCAGATTGCTATTAATAATTTTCAGTTTGTGTTTATCTCTTAATAAACAGGTAAGTTTGTTGTTACCAATCATTTGGTTTTATTCAATCTCACATAATTCAGCTGGCTAGATGTTATCAAGAGTACTAAAACCCTTTTCAACATGAGTCTTACAACTAAGGCTAAATACTTTAATTTAAACTTAAATACATGCTTGGATAGGCTGGTATCGGCCAGTATCGGTATCGGATCGGAAGTCCAAAAACAATATCGGTATCGGATCGGAAGTGCAAAAAACCTGGATCGGGACATCTCTAGCTCATACATGATGTTCCAACGAGTTGGAAAGACTTTCATATGTTAGATTGTTATCTTGAGCAGTAGGCAGTAAATCACTCCGCACTGATATAAAAGAGGCTGAAGAAAAATGTTAGGGACATTGTAACACAATTGTCTCTCTACTTTCATTTTAGGCCCTGAGCATGGTACTCCGGCTTTCTCCCACAGTCCCAACACATGACTGTGTTTGCCTATGCAAATCTAACGTCTTGTGCATGCGCATCGACTATGGGTATGCTGGTCTGATGGCTGTGGCTAGATCATTGCACCCAATTATTTTCAAGGCCAAATCTATTCCTAAAACTTCATCAGTGTTGTTCAGTTCTGAGCAAATCTCACATAGCTCAGCAATTTTCCTTTAAAATGATACATTTGAAAGGTTAATTGGCTTCTCAAGATTCTCCTTAGGAGTGAGTGTGTACGTGAATGGTTGTTTCTTTCAGTTTTGTCGCTGTGTTGCCCTGCGATGGACTGGCGACCTGTCCAGGGCCTCTCGCCTGTAGACAGCTAGATATAGGCACCAGCACCCCTCGCGACCCCAGCTGGGATCAAACGCGATGGAAAATGGATGGATGGATGTTTAAAAGAAGATATCAAACACCTTAAATTGCACTTACAGTTGTTTTTAATTCAGTGCCCCTCTAAAGTAAGAAGGTGCCATAATGAACTGCCTTTTATTTTCTTATACAATGACCTTTTGAAAGGAATTGAAAGGTTTTCTGCATTTTATTCCCCTTTAGTTTGTTTTTATATAGTTAATTTTATTATTTTATATAATACCTGGATGAACCTCCTGAGTTTTTTTTTAATAAGTAAAAATTTTTAAATGATTGTTCAAAAAATAAATGGAGAGCAAAGTTATAAAGGTGGTCTTTTTTCCCTGGTGATCTGAAAAATGATCCGATCCTTGACTCAAAGCTGTTATAAAATCCAAACCATAAGTTTTGTGATCCATTACACCGCTAACAAACTGCCATATTTATTAAAGCCCCTTCATATTCACAATAAAGTCACCTTACATGTGATCTTATATACATCATGTTGGTCATGTAAACCATTTTAAAATCAGACAACAGTTAATTGAGCAAGTTTTTAACTTCAAAGGTGTATTAAAATAAACTGCTAAATTATTATTTAACTACTGTTTAACAACACACACAAATTTCATTAGACAAATACAGCTGAACAAAGCAAGGAAAAGGTGAAGAGTAAAAAATTTATTTGATCTGCTTGCTAACGCTTTTTTCGAAAGCAAATTTAAAAACAAAATTTAGACAGCAAACTCTAAACCTGGGTCTTGCACTGCCAATTAATTAATGTTGATTTGGAATCCCCCCCCACCCCCCTGAAAAAAACAATCTACAAAAAGATAACTTAGATTGAAGAATTTCAATAGATGAGTTGGTTGACTTACTTCCATTGTTGCCAACAACAAAGTTGACATTGGAACCGAATGCAAATGGCCCAAGGAGAGAGTGACACATGAAGTTCTTCAGAGTGATGCTCTTCACAATTCCTGCATCACTCACCACATCACTAGTGCACTGAAACTAAAATACACAAGACAGGAACAGTCTCATACCTGAAATATCAATTTTGCATAAACATTTACATACTTTGAGACAGTAAAACTTCAAGCTTCAATTAATATTTTAGCATTTTATGCGATAGACACAAAGTGGCATAAATCTCAAGCAGAGAAAATTTAAAATTTCCATTTCAAATGTAAGTGTGGCATGAATTTTTTCTTAGACTACCTTTTTTATTTTATTTTACACCCCTACAAGCAATCACTTCACTTCAATTCAATTCAATTCAGTTATTTCTATAGCACCAATTCACAACACGTCATCTCAAGACACTTTACAGTTCACTAGATCATACAGTCAAATTGATTCAAAGTTTTCTATCTAACGAAAACCAGTTGATTGCATCGACTCAAATGCAATCCCTCATGCCTGAGGGATGCCTGCTTGTAGCGACAGTGGAGAGGAAAAACTCCCTTTTAACAGGAAGAAACCTCCAGCAGAACCAAGCTCACTGTAAGCGGCCATCTGCCGAGGCCGACTGGGGTTCAAGGAGACAGAAGCAGAGATACAAAAAGCAGTTGTAAAAGGCGGCCCCGTCCAGGAAACACACAGCCAGGCAGACGAGCTCTGAGCCAGCTCCCATGTCAGAGGATGAAGAGAGCACATCCAGCCAGTCACAGTCAGAGAAACAGGACTACACTGGAAAACCAGGCCGATCTCCAAGAACTATAAACAAAGGTGTTGATGGCAGCAGCACGGATGATATGTATCTCCAGGATGGAGTCACAGGCAAACTTGCAATCAGAAGTCACTCAAAGACGAACAAGTGTCCACCTAGTTGAAATTCAATAGGTTATACTCATGGATAGAATAACCCAGGCATAAATTAAACTATGGCAAGACTATTAACTCACTTCTTACAGATGTTTGAGTGATTAAGCAAAGAGTACAATAAATAATTAATGCAGGATCTGTTAATATAAAAGGTTGTAGTCGCTGTAACACAAGCTGAATAACTTCACAGGGTTGGAATACTTGCTGTGATGGGAACTTATAAATGTAGGGGAAAAAGCTTATTAGTAGTATTACCTACCCGTTTACTTAAAACAAGACCTTCCAGGTCACTTTCAGTTACATGCTGCTCTTCCTCGTCCTCCTCATCTTCATCAACCGTGGGTCGGGGACGTTTGTTTGTGTTAACACCGCCAGTCGTGCTTTTGCGCTTCGACATGTTAACTGCCCGACGTAAGACATGTGGACGAAATGAAACCGAAAGGAAGATGCAAACTAACGTTAGCAGTATAAAGGAGTGATGTTTCCGTACTCAAATTTACCTTAACATGCTGCTTATTGGGATTTAACTGACTTAACGGATTCTTTATAACAAGTGTACGTTCTATAAAACTGCACTGAATCAACTGAATATCATAAGGATGTAGCTAAAGTGGCTAAACAACAACGCCCGCTATACAAATATAAACTAATGATATCTATTAAATTAGCAGACTGGTGTGTACAAAGGTTGGCTCTATGTTATTAAAAGTGACTGACAGAATACAGAAAATAGCTTAAGAAAGCACTTCTTACCTCGTTGAAGTAGCTTGAACAGCAAACCCCCGGCGCCTGTCGAATTCGCGCTATTTCCACGAAATATCGCGAGAATTCACTGGATCGCTGATAGCCCGAGAAAAAAGTGAAGCCACCGGACGCCATATTGGTACTCCCCACTCCCAATGAGACGTGCTATAAAAATGCCTACTTGTTTAGCATCTGGCTGCAAAAAAAGCAGTTTGCCGGCTGTGGGAAGACGTTTCACAGCTAATATCAAATTAGTCTGGCAACCTCGGACTGACTCGAAGATATTGACTGAGTTAGTCATTGATATTGTGTCTAACGTCAGAAAACAGAGAGTAAAGCAATCACTGTGAAATGTCAACGTAGTAATCCTTAGCAAAATGTAATATACTTGAAGTAAATTCTATTAAGAATACTTAAGTATAAGCATAAGTTTAGAAAGTATATCGAACAATGTACTTTTAGTGTACTTGAAGTATTACTAAAGTAATACTTTAGGGTCTAGGGTTAAACTCTTAAGTGCACTGATTTTAAGTATGAAATTAGTGCACTTTTAGTATACTTGAATAAGCTACTTTTTGCTAAGGGAATTCCTCATTATTTCTTGGATCTGTTGTTTTTGTAGTGTTTGCAGTATTTCTCATTTGAAAAATTAATAATGTGCTCAAACATTGCATGTTATACGGAAAAAAACCCAACTCATACATTTTTAAAGGCTAATACAAAGACACAGCATAAAAGTATATGGCATCATGCATGCACAATTTTCAAACAGAAAAATTCTCTAGCATTAACAGACATGTACTTGTAATTCAGTCTTGATGTCAAATCTTGAAATTATATGTAATTACCACAACGATGTCGTCAACATAGTACATTACATGTACATCGTCAATTTAGCAGTTTTGGCATCTTACATCTGTATTATTGTGCTCCATTAACACATTAATTTTAATGTGATGGATTTGTATAATATTTCATATTACATGATTTATAGACTTAATTGACTTCTTAATCACTGTGCAATTTGTGCCTATTTTTTTTTAATCATGAGTAATCGACTGATGCTATTAAACTGAAAGTGTGTGTCAAAGTAATTAATTTATCTTTATCTTAAAAGTGTTAAGTTCCCCTGAAAATGAGAACATCATCATTGTTTGATGCTGTAGTGCACGTACTGTTTATATTGCGACTAGTCTAACCAGGGAGTACCAATATGGCGGCGGGTGGCTTCACTCCACCCCGTACTACCAATGGAATACCAAGAGAAACAAAATAAGATCGGGAGATAGTTTAAATATTATGCAGCTTGGTCAATAAACAGTCTTGTGCTTGTGCAAATTAAGTTTGTCATAAACTTCTAAACTATTAATAGATGAATGTTTACCACAATTTTATGAAAAAAATTTTTACATCAGTTTTTAGAACAAGGTAGACAACCTTTTTATAAAAAAAAAAATAAATAAAATTTGTATTTAAAAACAAATCATTAAAATAGTTACAGTTTACATCTGACAAAAAATTATGTTATTTAATTTTTGTAGTCATATGTTTATAGACATTTTGCTTTTTACAAACTTTTTTTTTTCATAGATGTTCAAAATTAAATGATCTTTAAGTCACACCTAGAGGCTTCCATTCAGAAATACATCAATAATCTGTTATGTTAGAATAACCTGGGTAATTTCCTGTGCAATGGCCCCAATTTAAATATTTGTATTTTGGAGCCATTATTTCTGCCTTGTGACAAAGTCCTGCAAAAAAAAAAAAAAAAAAAAAAAAAAACATTGTTTTTAGAAAACAATCACTGCTAACATGACAAATAACTTGTGATCTTGTTCAGCTTTTTTTTTCTTTTTTTTTTTTAGGCGATCCATTTTTCAAATAGAGCAAATAGTCAAAAAGGCCTGCTTTGACATGGTTTCTTTTCTGCATTCCAAAAAATAAATTAAAAACAAACCACTGGACTTTGTTTTCCTTTTCTGCATAACTTGACACTAAACTAGAATGTTATAGCCTCATTGTACATGCTTCCCTCACAGCAACTGAACATCTTTCCTCTACATTTTGAACAAGTCATTGATTGTTTTAGTCAAAAGCGATCTCCAGAAAATCCATTAACAATTAAACTGTCTTTGCACCCTTTTCCTTTAAGGTCAGAAAGAGCAACACAGGATTTAACTCTACATTTAATTCTAGTTAATCTGATCATTTTAATAGCAACCTTGCCAAAACCAATTCAAATTCCCACCACAAGAAAAAACTACACTAAAACTAAACAGTTCTTAAAAGCATTTTGTTTTGTTTTGGGTCAGCCTCACTCAAAATTTTACATTTGTATTATATGATTACCTGCTTTGTTGTATGGCTGTGTTGAGGTGAAATAACAATGGTTCTTTCTGTTGCTCCCCTATGATTCTTTGATTGACAGGGAGAAAAAAAACACAACTAAACAGGAGTCATAGATCATTTATTTATCAATCAATATAACCAGAGAGACCACATTGAAAACTACCTCTATTCTCTCTGAAGACCCTTCAGTTACCTCAGCTGTTTTAGAGATACACTGTCCCACACTCTTCAATCTTCCTTTGCAAGGCACACCTTAAATTAAACCAGGAATCTTGCTTTGGACTAAAACCTCCTTTTCTATCATAAGCCTCCTGGCACCAAAAGGGAGTTTCTTATTCTCCGCTTCTGCGGCTCGAACCGGTGTTCTGTCAGATCAGCATACCCTGTCAGACCAGCACACCCATAGTAACATGCATGCATGTCGTCAGATCGCCATACGCTTAAAAAAACACCAAAAACTAAGTAATTAAATTGTACATAACATTTTTTGTACATGACTAAAGGAATACACGCCCATTGAGGTAGTCTAAAGTGTATTTTTCATACAAAACTAAAGGGATAGTCATGCGTTGAGGCAGTTTAAAGTGTATGTAGAGAAGGGTCTAGCTGCACCTGCAGCCATCTACAAAACTTGTCCTGTACAAAACACACCTCCCCCCTAGCCAATATTAATTGAAGAGAATCAAAGGTGAACGAGATGCCTACTCCTAGCAAGGTTGTATTTGTCCCATAAAAAAGTAATAATCTTGTTCAATGTTGGGATTAAAGGAATAGTTTAATCCATGATCAAATTGCTGTACAATTTTGCGAGCCACGTATTTTGTTTTCTTATATTATGTCATTTTCCAGGGACTGCACATGCTTTAAATATTAAAATTAAAATGTTAGGAATTGCATTTCTAAGTTAATTTGTATAAAATCCTGCTGTTGTGAAGTAGAGAACACAGAAAGTGAGGCTGTCTATATTTAAACCAGTTTAGCTTTAAATTCTGTTTACCTCAGACTAAAACGTTTTGTTAATTACATCACGCATAAATAAATGACCCTACTTGTCTTTTGCTATGCTTTTCTGGTAGCAAACTATGGTTATGCTAAGCTGACACTTATAGTGTCAGAATTGCATACGAGTATGCAAATATGACGTCTTGTGCATGCGCATTGATTATGGGTATGCTGGTCTGATGGGGTAATCTGATCTGACAGAACACTGGCTGTAGCTAGATCAGTGCACCCAAGGCCGAATCTGTTCTTCAAATTTCTATCTATGCTGTTCAGTTCTGAGCAAAACTCACATAGCTCAGCAATTTTCCTTTGTAATGATACATTTGAAAGTGATTACATGCTTGTGTTCATCATCATAAGCTAATACATTCAGTTGATATTGTAAGCTAATGCATTTATTTTCCCAAAATTGTAACAAGATTTTATTTTATTCAACACAAATACACAAAAAAAATTCAGTACACTTTTTGAGCAGCCACAGAATCTACATTTTACATCTATTGTTTTGTGGAAATGAAAACAGTACAGCATGGTTGCTCTGCTGAAAGGAGCAAAAAAAGGTGTAGCTAAAGAGCACCATTAGATCCATGGGCTTTCAGTGCCAGAAACCTGTTCAGTTTGAAATCAAAATCCACGGGACGTTCACTGGGGGGTTTGTAGCCCCCTCTCATCACCAAACTCAGGTACGGAATGAGCTCACTGTTCTCCTCAAATGATGCAAGCTTCTTCTTGTACTTCTGTCTGGTAGAATTTGTGCCATTTGGGTTGAAAGCTTGTAAAATAAAACAACACAACACTTTAATCGTTGTCATCATAACAGCCGGCCCTTTTCCTGCAATTTATCTTATGACATTTTGCTCACCTTTCAGATAGAATGCAACATAAAGAAGAGCTGACCTTTGTATACTGACAAAAGGAAACTTTGGTTTGAGAGACCCAACAGCTGTCATGGCTTTAATCACTGGGACTGCTGCCCCCTAGAGACAAAAAAAAGTTCAATTTAAAGATAATTCTGAGCAGCAGATACACCATAAAATTCATGACATAGAAAATTTTAATTTAATAAGACATCTAACCTGTTCCAGGTAGCCCAGTGTTGGAAGAGAGGTGAGGGAAACAGGCTCACAGAGAGGAGGAACCTTACAGGGCAGCTTTTGGTCCCAGTAGGTTTCAGGCATCCTTGACATGGTCCAAGGAAAAAATAGTTTTTGTTTTGCAAGACAGAAATATAGTGATCTAAAGGCACATTGCCCCATTGCAGATTTCATTCTGTTTTTTGCCCCTTTGTCTTTCATAAATGTTACAGATCATGTCATACATTTTCAGAACAAAGATGACCTGAGTACACACAATCAACAAGTTTCGAATGATTATTTAATTTGACAAAAAGGGCAAAAAAGTTATAAATCAACCTGGAAACAAAATTAATACCCCTAAACCTAATAATCTTAATCCTAAAACAATTATTATTTATAATCCAATATAGTGCTTAACTACACAACCATATAAGCCTGTTTTTAAATTTAATTTATTCATCTTTTTTTTCCACTCTTACTCTAAGTCGACTTTAGGACTTATTTTAATTTTGCCTCATTTGAGGGTTATCAAGCATAGACCCCCTGTTTAAGGTAATTTCACAGCTTCTCAATCTGATTTACTAAATCCAGACTTTGACTATTAAACTTCAAATCCTTTTGTTTTGGGGTTGCTGGAATGCTTTAGATTAATGCGTATATAGTTTGCTTAAGTTAAAGGTCACACATTTGCTGCAGGACATAAGGA